TTTTTTTTTTTTTTTTTTTTTTTTTTTTTTTTGGTATGGGGATGGAACTCAGGAACTTGCACTTACAAGGCAGGCACAGGGCCACTGAGCTAAGTCCCCAGCCCCAGGGTATCATGACTTTAAAATTCAGGTGACTTTAAGACAACACCAAGGTTAAGAAACACTGCATTAGGATGATAGGGTACTTAAAAAGCTACCAGTCCGAGCGTTCTGGAAGTCCAGAATAATTTTTTTTTTTTAAATTCATGGAAGTATAGAGAAAAAACTGAAGGAAGTGACAAGAAAAAAAAGTGAAAATAGAAGGAAAAAATCGAAACAAAGCTTTTGTACATAGGAAGAGGTGGGGGCTTGGGGGGAATGGTACAAAATAAAATTTATTTAAAAAAATAAAACACCGTAAAGTTCAAAACTATGAAAATGAAAGACATCCATCTCCCACACAAAGCAATTACCACTTTCTTCTGACTTTTAGAAAATGTTTCTATACATACCCATGTCTCAAGAAATAATTCATTTATACCAGAGTGCACACTACACATAGAATTCTATGCTGGTGCCTTTTAAAATTCACTACAACTTGGAATCAGTCCTTTGAATACAGTCACAGCTAGAAAGAAATTCGTATGTCTGTAATACATTTTATTTAATCCTTCTTCCCCTGGGTTGAAGATCACTTCAGCTGCTACTATTTTTGTTGCAATAAACATGCTCACACATGGACTACATGCGTTAACACAAACGTCTGTGAATATTTTTATAGGGGAAATATCTTTCCATGCAAGGAGACAAGCTCCTGCAAATACTTAGAGGGTAAAGTACTTTATAGGATAAAATATTTTGTAGGGGAAATTATAAAGTAAAATTTCATAGGGTAAAATCTCCTAGGAGTGAGACCACTGGGTGCATTTAAGATTGGGATAAATATAGTGAGGAACATAAACACCTAGAAAATAAATCGATACCACTCACGTCAAACAGGATTAAGACTACTAAAGTGGGGGTGCTGGCGCTCCCCTGGCCGTCACACAAAGCGGGGTCGTCGGAGGGCAGGGACACCGAGGCGGTCGGGAGGCGGCGACTGGCCGGCCACGTGGACGGCTA